CAAATATAAATTTTCAGGTTAGGAAACCAAGTACATTGATGTACCTGAGTTCACTTTTATGTTGTTTGTCTTCTATGATTTTGACTCACAGTTCCAGGTGTCAAATGATAATTGATGATTATGCCTATAAAATTGAAAGCAGTTCATGTCACTATGTCAGCTGCTGAGTTTTGTTTTCATGGGCCGAGACTGGAGAGTCTTAACCCTGTCCCACTACGTTCTCTTGTTATCCGTGCATTTGTTATCCCCACAATTTTGAGCACTTAAAATGATTCTTGAAACAGTGGAGTTTGGGTGATTGGATGAAAACGATTTTAAGCTGTCCATTCAAACTAAACCTTAAACTATTGAGTTCTATTCTTCCTTAGTGAACTGGCTATTGCAACACCATATTAACCGTCTGCTTTCTACATAGTTTAATTGTATCACATGCTACTAGGTAGCAGCACTAGCAATGGAAGACATGATTGCTTGGATGCAAGAAGGTGGGCAGGTATGTTGGCTTGTTTCAGATTGTAAGATAAGTTCGTTTGCTTATACTGTTTCTTAATAGTTCATTTTTTCACGCACTTGTAGGTAGGAATATTTGATGCCACAAACAGTACCAGGGAAAGAAGGAACATGCTGATGAAAATGGCTGAAGGAAATTGCAAGGTACAATGAAATGATCACATGATGATTAAGCTAGGATTATTAGAGAACAAATGCATATGAGCATGCGTACGATTTCTCCTTTTTGTAGCGTCGTAACTGTTAATCTCTTCAATCAAAATATATTAAAGCCCTTTTAGAATACCACCCGTGCCACATCAGCCTTCCACGGCTCCCCGTAATTTTCGATGTTTTTCTTTTCCAACAGCCAGCCACTACTTATTCGCATTTTTATTTCCTTTTTCAGTTAAACTTTCTTTCTATGCGGGTTTTTTCATTTTTTCAATTAATACTAATAATATTTAGTGAAAGCAATTTCGACCTACAATTATTAAAAAAAAAATGGATGGTGTTGTGCGTTGGAATCAAACTTATAACTTAGTGATGTGAAAAATAATTTAATTGGGGTTAAAATAAACTCAACTCTTTTATATGTAATGTAATATATGTTTAGGTGTTAGGAATAGATGCTTGTCTAGGATAAATCTTAAATTTCACGATATTTATAATAATTTGAATACTTTTATGAGAACGTCAATTGGCAAACAAATATGAATTTACTATTAAAGTGACACAGTTTAAAATATACTGGAAATCTTTGGTGTGTTATAGACACGCTCTCAACCAAAATACATGTTATACAGTTTGGAAGTATACCATAAAGGACCATGTCAACGGACAAATCCTTAATAATTTGTATGTCCAGTGTTTTGGATTGGGAATCAATAAAATTTAGCACCGGACCATCAATAAAGAACTATCCCGGCCAACAGGCCGGGGACAAAGCTAGTTACTATTTAGTGTTGTTATTTGGATCATCAGGACGTCCTTTACTTGAAATTAATTGATTATCTTCTTACATGTGCTTTCTCAATGCAGATTATATTTTTGGAAACTTTATGCAATGATAAACGCATTATTGAGAGGAACATTCGCCTTAAAATCCAGCAAAGCCCTGACTATTCTGAACAGTACGTCAAACTGAAATTATTGGTATATTATCTCTGGAAAGGATAAAAACTTCAACTGGTGTTTTTGCAGGCCCGATTTTGAAGCTGGATATGAAGACTTCAAAAGTCGGCTAGATAATTATGAAAAGGTGGGTTTGGCTGCTAATTGTACATACTTCTGCGTTACTGTTTAGAGTTTACTTCAAGTAATTATATATGTTTTCTTTTATTGGTAGGTCTACGAACCAGTTGAAGAAGGTTCTTACATTAAAATGATAGACATGGTCAGTGGTAATGGTGGGCAAATTCAGGTATGCTTTCCTCATATGCCTGTTCTCCTGATCAGAAAATCATAAGTTGCTCATTTCCCTATTTTTTCAATCTTTATGTTGATCTTAAGCACAAATAGAGCACCTTGGCATTCCCCCAAATGGATTTCAAAGACAAATTAATTTTATTCCAGTTTTTATGTTACTTATTTCCCTTGGTCAATACTTGAATGTTTATGAATAGAACTACCGAAAGACTTAGTTGAGACTTGAGAATAAGAAGATGCGGATTGACAAGAATAGACCACTTGAGGCTGGAGGCAGCTCACTGGACCTGCTAAAGTTTGACTATCATTTGCTTAATTAACGTATAGGAGAAACACAACTTCACAAAATCTTCTACAGCATTCATGGTCTCTGCATTTCCACATATAGGTTGCAGCAAAATTTCTCAACCATTCTTTGTTTGTGTTAAATTGGTTAGATGGTCGTGCATTTTGTATGTTAAACTTGACACACCCGCCTCTTTTCATCATTTCATAGTAGCTACTCACAGCCGTTGCTACTCACATCACATGTATAAAGGTCTATTGATGTGTTCAGACTTTTGTAGTTTCTTTTTTGATTGGATGAGATTCATTCATCAGCCTTCTTTGCGTTCCAGGTGAACAATATAAGTGGCTACCTTCCGGGACGCATTGTCTTCTTTCTGGTAAGTTGCTATGCTTTTGTGAAGATGTAGAGCAGTTGTCTTACTATATTACTTAACATGACATGATAATGGCCTAAGAAATTTTCATCCATCATGACATGATTACTGTGTTTGGTCAGTGTTATTGTCATAAGAATATTAAACTGTGGGTTCAAATATTCTTTTACAGGTGAATATGCATCTCACGCCTCGTCCAATATTACTTACAAGGCATGGAGAAAGCCGATACAATGTTAGAAGTAGAATTGGAGGTGATTCTTTGTTGAGGTATCTTATCTTGTCCTCTATTCATTTTCATTTTTTATTTCTCTTTTCAGCTTATCTTATCCATGTTGCCCAAGTCTATATATCCCTTGCCCTAATCTGGTGAGGCAAATGTGTTTTAACTATTGATGTTCCTAGTAAACAGAATTTACTTTACCTTCCCTCTCTTGCAGTGATACTGGAGAAATATATTCCAAGAAGCTTTCAAACTTTGTCGAAAAGCGACTGAAATCTGAGAAAGCAGCATCTGTAAGCTTCTTTGATATCATCAATAACCTATTTTTCTTAGCATGGTGAAATGCCATTCGAATCGTGGAAACTGACTATGATGCCATTGTTTGTCACATAAAAGATTTTCATAAATTCAATGATTAATTGTTAACTTGCACACTTTACTGTGATCTAGATTTGGACTAGCACACTGCAGAGGACAATCCTAACAGCAGGTCCAATTGTTGGGTTTCCCAAGGTACACAAGAAAATTAAACAAGATTATCCGCTGTCTGGTATTCTAACCAAAACAAGTGTTTTCATGCTAATATCATATGATAGTATAAGTCTCACTTTTTGTTCACCTAGATCCAATGGCGTGCACTGGATGAGATAAATTCTGGAGTGTGTGATGGAATGACATACGAGGAAATAAAGAGGAACATGCCAGAGGAGTACGAGTAAGTTCATTAATCCGACACTCTCCAACGTTCTTACTTGACTGACCTGCATGACTATGGCTTTCCTATCCATTCTTACTTCTCTTATTGTGTATCCCTAATTATCAGGTCCCGGAAGAAGGATAAGTTGAGGTACAGGTATCCGCGTGGAGAATCCTATCTGGACGTCATTCAGAGGTTTATGTTCTGGCCATTTAGTGTTACTTCTCAGCACTACTTACTCACTTTTGGTTGAAAACAACAAGCTTACCGTCCACTCGGGATATAACACAGGTTGGAGCCAGTAATCATTGAACTCGAGAGACAAAGGGCACCTGTTGTGGTTATCTCTCACCAGGTTATGCATCTCAAACTTTTTCAGACACTACTTTGTGTTAGTGACTACTGACTGGGTTTCGGACACTAAAGGCTGGTTCGTTATATTTGCAGGCAGTATTGAGGGCTCTGTATGCTTATTTTGCTGATAGGCCTTTGAAAGAAATTCCACATATCGAGGTAATCTAGCGGATACGCAAAGTAGTCAGATGAACTGTATTCCTCATTCTTTTGTTCAAAGTTAAATAGTTTAGTGTAGTTTGTTGTTAAGCTAACATTCCGGTTTCCATGACTGTTGGTTGTTTTAGATGCCACTGCATACAATCATCGAGATACAGATGGGAGTTACTGGCGTGCAAGAGAAAAGATACAAACTCATGGACTGAAAATTGTGTTTGTAGCCTAGAAACACACAACTGGTAACTGTCACTGTAAATTTTCATTCCCGTTGTTACTGAAACGCAATATTGGCACGATATTATCACAGGAAAGAAAAAGGTAAAGATGCATAAAATGTATGATAGAAATAGCCAAATCTCTTGCCTACCAACCCGACCAAACCCTAGTAAAGTCACTTCTATATATGATCTCATCATCTCATAAGGCCTTGGACGTGTCTGCCGGGAAACTGATAATAGGCAAGATCGCCGTATGAAGAAAGAAAGGAAGAAGGGAGATCAAGCATCGATGGCGGCTGAGTGTTTGTCAACGAAGTGCCAACCGAAGGGTCTCGCTTGGAAGCGTTGTTGTGCTTTCAAGTGAGACCCTCAGCTGGAGCTTTGTTGAGAATGAGCAGTTCTCCATCGATTCTTGATCTTCTTTCCTAATTCAATAATTGTGTCGATTCTTAGATCAATGTTGTGACATTTTTGTTAGGAATCCCTATCGATATAACGACTGAAGTGGACAATAAAACTGTACAAGTGTAACTATCCCCCATACTGTAAAGCAAGGATAACCGAGTTGTGCAGCATTTTGATGCATGAGATTGCAGATAGCCTTTGTCATCTATGTTAGGTAGGAGAGATTATTTATTGTTACAGCTTCTGAGTCTGAAATGTATAATAATCGCACACATGAATCCAAAGATGAGTCTTCTTCACGGGTATCGTGGGAGACTTGAGGGTGGGTGAGATAAAGGGCTTGCCGTCGCCTTCACGAGTCTTTCATTTTGCGGCCCTCTTTGCCATAATCAGATAATCTCTTCCCCCCCTTTGATTCCCTTTTCTTTCTTCCCCCGTCCCTTGAATACAGGAATTTGTCCCTTCACCCACGCAATAAACAAATGGGTTTTCTTTCCCCAAATTCAGTTCCAGACTCCGTGTTCTCCCTGCACTACGCACTGCCACGCATATCCCGCAATATTTTCCCCAATCAATTAGTCAAACTTCTTCTAACTTCATTTTCACGTAACGCCCTCCCACCCATTTTCACATGCACACCCCATATATTTTTACATCTACGCAACTCTTGAATCTTGCTTCTCTTCAAACCCCGCACTAGTTTAGTTAGAGATCGATGAGCGATCTACTCAGCAGCATATCGTACGACAGCAGCAACCTGCTGCTAGCTGCTTTCATCTCGTTGCTACTAGTCATCCTCTTCGTCCTGCTCCTTCACATCTACGCCAAATGGTACCTCTCCCGTCGGATGAGGACCACCACCGTCATCACCTCGCTCACCCTGCAGCCGCCGTCGGTAATCAACTACCGCTATCACTTCCAAACCCATCCTCCCCTGCCCACCGCAGATCACGAAGAAGGCGATCAAGCCAGTGGTGGTGGCGGCGGCGGGCTCAACCCGTCCGTCATTGCTGCAATTCCGTTGTTCGTGTACATCAACAGCAGGAGTCGTCGGAGTAGTAGCAGTAGCGGTGGTTGGATAGAGGAACAGCAGGGGAGCAAGAGTGGCGTTGTTGTGAATGTTAAGTACCAACACCAGTGTGTGATTTGCTTGAGCAGCTTTGGCGATGGGGAAGTTGGGAGGTGCTTGACTGGTTGCGGACATGGGTTTCACGTTGACTGCATAGACATGTGGCTTCTTTCTCACTCCAATTGTCCCATCTGCCGAGCTCCGGCAGCTCCCCTGCCTCCTGCTGCTGCCGCCGCCGCGGCAGATTCCGCTGACGGTGTTGCTCCGAGTAAAGCTGAAGATGATGGTGCGGAGGTTTGTGTGTTGATCAGTGGCAGTGGAGAGTCGTCTGTGGCTGATGATAGAGTGTAGAATGTGTTTCCGAGGCATATCATTTTTCGGGTGTTTGAGATGGGAGTGATGGCTGCTAGCTTGTGCTGCTGTCAAAATCAGCATAATCTTTCCATCCTGTTAATTATTAGATTTGATTTTTTGTTAGTGTTGCGATGATTTGGGGAAGAGGGTGTTCAAACGCAGAGTAATGTTTAATAATTTACCAGTGTCTCTAATCAAGACCCGAAAATAGACATTGTACAATTAGTTGACTTCAACAAGGAACAATAAAACACACAATGTGATCAAGATATGTCTGTGTTTTCAGGCGATAAATTCCTCCTGTTTGAACATGATTAATGTACCTTCACTTTTTTTTGACGATTTTAAGACACAACTCAAATCTCTTTATATATAATTTAAATGAAGGTATTTGATTTATAATTGTTTTTTGGTAACACAACTACATTAAGTTATCCTTAATGGAGGTTCAGTAAAGAGTTTCAAACTATGACTATTACTATGCCGAAAAAGATAAAAACTTAACGTAGGTGTCATGTGCATGATTACAAAAAAATCCCCTCCCTTTGTTGACTCTTCTTATTTATAGCCACAGGTGATAAAAACAATAGAGAATCATCACCTTGGGAACTGCTACAAAGAACTGCCCTCTTAGCTCTTACTCGGACGTGACTAGTGTGTCTTCGAACACATGATGAGTGATAGTTGTTCCCTCAACCCCCGAAACACCTCTCTAGCAATTGTCATGTGTCTTGAAGTGTAGCTTTTTTTTACTTTGCCACATTTCAAACTTCATGCCCTTGTGATGAGATCTCCTGCCATGCCAGGACTCACGGGGAGCCTATGATCGTCTCATCTCTCAGCTATGGTCGTTTCCCGATGAATCTTTGCTCGGTTAAGACCTGGCGAGGAGCTAGCTTCCACATGGTAAGAAGGCCACACCTTTTTTAATGCATGCCCATGGTCATTTTCGTGTGCGGCCTCAGGACCATAAACTATGTTATTGTGGCATGGTCCTTGACGAGAAGGCCATGTCCCATTGACTCTTAGTCATGCTCCTGTTGTACTTAGCTTCTTTGGCTTAAAAAATATAGCTACACAAATCCAACTCAAATTAATTAGTTAATTGTTACAATTGAGTTGGTCTTATAGGAGCATTAGCTACCTTGGACACAATCAAGGTGATATTGATGTATTTTTTGGTGAAAAATGAATGCAGAACACCAATACCTCTTACTCGTTTAGTCAATCTAGGGAAAGAACTCCCAACAAGATCATACATAGACCAAAGTTTGATATGAAAATCATAGAATGCAAACATAATGAGTCCTTTTGCGTGCTGGTTGTGAAAATCTCCTATTGCTAAGAGGAGTGTGGCGAAAATAGAAGGATTGATCCATACATCTAGTCGGTATCTTGCATCCCATGCGAGCTCCAAGCCTTTGACTATCGCCCAAATTCCATTTGAGTGATCTTAGATTTTATAATATTCATTTTGTAAGCCCTCAATAAACAACCCGTCAGTCTCTAAGCACACCTCCAATGACGGTTGACCCGAATTGTCGCAAAATCAAACCATCACAGTTCAGTGTGATCCACTCTATCGGGTCTGATCTTCTCCCACGGTCACGCTTTTACTATACCCCAATCTCCCAAGTGATATAATGTGGTATCTTGCTGTACTATATTGTGGTATTTTCTCCTAGCTAGGAAAGGATTTTTTGCGCTAGCTTATTAGGTTATTCCACAATAGCTATGAAAACAAGATCGTTCCGAGAACGCCAAAGAAACTTAAAAGGAATGAAAAATAGAAGTGTTTGTTGTACCAAAACATGCTGGTGGTTAGCTATCTACTTTTCCATTATAGTTTTCTTATTTTTGTTTTTCGAAAATTAAAATTAATCAACTAACTGGTTTTTAATTTTAAGCGTGTCACTTTTAAAGACAATGTTTATCCCTGATTTAATTTTCATTTTCAAAGCAGAATACAATGGTAGATCCATAAATCACAAGGAACTTTGAAAAGGATTCAACATAGGGTTTCAAGCAATAGAAATTGGTTTATAATAAGGTGTAAGCTAAGAAGGAAGTTAGGTTAGACGACGTTTGACGAATGGATATAATGATAATTTGATAAAAGTGGTCTTTTATGCCATTGGCTAAACCCATGTAGAGATATAGGTATCACACAAGAAAGAACCGATCATGAAAAAAATCTCACTTGTCTTCCTAGATGCTTGGTCTTTCATACAAGCTCTCCGACATATATCGCTAAAGGAGACGGTGGTTGACTACTTCTATCTCGTATATAATTTTCCATGAAATGAAGAGTCAAACTAGTAAATTGCATCCCACATTCTCACTCATCATCATAGGTTATCATGCATCCAACTTGCACCATTTATGTATCAAAGTCAACAATTCTCCCAATTCCAAAATAAAAATAAAAAGTTGCCATTATGATCATGAAATGTTTTTAGCTTTGTTTTCAAAATTAAAAATAGGTATCCATAAATTACACCCATATACACTACAAATGGAGATGAGAGCGAAGTTAGGAATGAGCTACCGATAGATGAGAAATAAATGAATAAATATTAGAGTCACAAGAACTAAATGGTACTGTGAGATTATGACGTATCACGTTCATTAGAATCACCCAAACTAATTATTCTACAATTAACAAAATAAAGCTAAGGACATTTAGACAACCAACAAAAAAAATGATAACGAATATCAAGACACAAAAGCAAAGAATTTCAAAAGCATAAACATTAAATTTGGTCAACGCACATGCCTGTAGATAGTTTTATTTGTATTCAAATCCATATTGCTTGCATCTAGCCCAATCCATCTCGAATGTCGAAAATAATGACCCTCAACCATATTCCCAATTTCAAACTATCAGTTTGACCTTATCCTGGATATCGAATTCTCTCTCCGGAAAAATAGCTATAACATGTAATAGTGGAGGAAATAAGAATGTACCCCCTTATTAAAAGTTTTTGGCCTAATACCAGAAAAGGCCTATAGTTTAGGGTTTGGGTCACTTGTACCCCTAAGTTTATACCGCGTCACTTATGTCCCAAAGTTTATAGTCCTAATGTAAATTTTGTCCTCTCTCATTTTGTTGACTGTTAGACTTAACGGTCAACCTAACGGTGGTCAAATATCTACCATGTCATTAACACCTAAGAAAATAATATATTTTTTTCAAATTTAATTAAACAATAGAAAAGTTTACCCACTCTACATATATTATTTTTCTAGCCCAAATTAATAAATTCCAAAAAAGAAACCGTTACTTCCATTCTTTTCTCCTTACCTATACACACAGACAATCGGAGGACGACGAGGATTGGTATCGAATCCTTTCAGCGGAAACATGCACGGTGGCCACCACCGGCAACGAGCTACAAGCTGCCTCTAGAGGCGAGGCGGCTGACCACTGAGGGTCGGGCCATGACGCAGGGGAGGTAGCTGGAGCGGATCAAAATAGGAGTCTGAAGGTCGAATCTAGGATAGGGAAATCGAAGATTGAAGGTCGAATCTCGTTCGTCGTCGATTAAAGCGCGGAATCCCCCTTTCTCGTTCGCCGTCGATTCAGTCGGATGGGGAAATCGAAGATGCGCGAGCATTAGGTCGGATGGGGAAGATGATGGGTTTGGAAACAAAATTTGGGTTTGGGATTCACATGGAGATGGAGAAATCGAATTTGGGCAACAGATCTGAAATCCAATTTTGGTATGGGGCTGAATTTAATTGCGTCCATGGATTCCTGGTTTTAGGTTTCTGTCTGAGGAAGACGATGGTACCAACTACCAATAAAGGGATGGGGGCAAACGGCAAAATGCCAAAATCCTATTTTGCATTTTTATTTTATCAGTTATTTATTAAAATATGTAATTTTATTTTTAAGTATTAATTTTTATTTACCTTACATTAAATGACGTGGAAAAAAAAATCCACGTCATATGCCACATATTTTGTCAAAATTTTGACTGTTGACTACTAACGGTCAAAGTTAACGGAAATCAAACTTTGGGACATAAGTGACGCGGTATAAACTTAGGGGTACAAGTGACCCAAACCCTAAACTATGGGCCCTTTTCTGGTATTAGGCCAAAGTTTTTTTTCATGTGCCGATGTATTATCTATAATAATTATGGTTGCATGGATATGACATCAAATCCCATTGTTGTATCTCAATTTTAATCATAAGTTTTCTGCTCATACCCATGGAACAAATTAATCATAATGAGGTTAACTATCAAAAACATTACCAACCTATTAAACTAGAGTAACTAATCATCTTTATTTGAAAAATTAACATGATCCCTATAAATTTATTACTAGCATAATGGTGGATTCACATCTCCCACACTAGTAACTGAGAGACACAATTATAACTCGTCATTAGACCTTTCAGTCTATTTTGATCCTGGTTTCCTGGATATATAAAAGAATATGATTAATGGGTTCTCCTAATTCATCATCTTTTATTATCACATGTGTACTCTTCTAAACTTTTGTTATCCTGAATCTTCCTTATCAAATATAAGCTATAAATCTATCACCATTACTAACAAACCCTCCAGTAAAAATATTCCAAGAATATGACGAGAGGAGCAACATGCTTCACCAAGCACAAAAATATGGAAGTCCTTTCCATGCATTGGCTAAAGATGACATAAATGTCGACTACATTGTTCCTGAAATCCATACTTGGGAACATGATTTTTATGCCATTAAGAATGCAGCAATGTTGGGGGCATTTGGATCGATGTATATGTAAATTTATATACAACTTGTGTCAATTGCATGTAGTATATAACCTAAGTTCTATTTGCAACTAAAATAATTTGAATTAGCATGAAGATTGTGTTTGAAAAGTAGAAAAGACACGTATGATCCATTTTTGTAAAGCCAAAATACACTAGTATAGCCAAAATCTTTACGTTTGTTCCAATAATAGCAAATTTGGAGAAATACCACTGATAGCCACATTCGTCCAATTG